CAAAAGACAAACAATACTACTTCAAAAGGTAGGCATACTCTAACTAACTGATGTCAGCTTCGCACGTTCTATATCATCAAGCATCCCGGGGGAAATCATCGTCGCTCTCATGCGAATCAGACTGATGTTAATTCTTTGGAGCATCAACAATTTTTGCCTCCACCCTTGTTTCTTCGAGCCCTCTTATACTTGGTGTCTTCGGTCATCTTTGTCGCTTTTTGTTTCATTTTATGCTCGGAGACAAAATCGTCATCGTCCGACTCACCCTCGGCGGTCTTTTGGTCCGAATTTTTGGCGCTGCTAGTAGGATCTATTTTCTGAAATTGAAGCTTTTCTTGTACAATTTTCCGCTCGGGAGGTTTAAATTGAGATGTGCAACGAGATCGCGAGCGAGTTATCCTTGCTTCGTCTGCACTTTTGGAGGGTTTATTCTCGATTTTATTTTCCTTTGCCATTGTTCTTCCCAGTTTCACCGGAAATTGAGTGCACTGCAAATTTGAGAAGAGAACAAAATAAAAATTTTCTGAAAAATATTGGTCTTAAATAGAAAAGGTGCAAGGACAATGAAGCCGGACGAGAACAAAATTGAATGTCCTTATGCATAACTCAATTGGCCAATGCTCTATACTGAATCATAAATTAAATAACCCCTTCTTCACCCCCTAAACAACAAACATACTCAATTTTACCTGATCCTAACATAAATAATTTTTCCTTAAAAAAAAGAACAAAATAAAAGAAAAAAGGCAATTAATTTACTCAGTCCCAAACACTGAACACTTACTTTTCTTCACCGGAAATATGGTCACTTCGCTACTGAGACGGGCTCGTCAGAGAAGTTCTGGGTGAAACGTCGACCTTGGACGACTTCTCGAAAAGACGAACAGAGAATATGTGATCTCCGCCGGCGATGATGTAATCCCCTTGAGAGATGATTTTTTTTTTTTGGAAGAATATGTTTTACTCGAGATTTGGAGAGAGATGTGGAGATTTTTCACACATCCCGAAAATCATGTAGGAGTTCTTTGGGGTTATTTCCTTTTTTTTTTTTTAAATTGCCACTAATATCGGAATTGATATGTAATTAAGTGTACTTAATGGTTAATTTGGCCATCTTAACCGCACTAAATCTCCTTTTAATTATTGAATAACGTATTTCTGATTAAACTTTTGTGTGCTTGTATTTGTGTTATTATTTACTTAAGGGGATGTAAATTGTGTAAATTTCTCACTAAAAATATGTCGTAATTTTAGGCCCAACTTTCAAAAGAGAGCAGCACTCAGGACTGGGCCTCGCCCACCATAAAGGAAAATGAGTTAAATTCAAGGATCTAAAAAAGACAAACCCGTCGTCGAACCGCTCAAGTCACTGATTCAATTATTAAAAAAGGTTCGATCAGTGATTGAACCGGTTGAACCGATATTTAATATATTAATATTTTAGACATATATAATAGTTTTGCTAAATTTTGCATAAGTGTAACTTAATGAAAATCTTCTTACTAAGCTAACATTACTAAGATCAGTTGGTAACTACATGCGGCAAGCAGAATGCGGAGAGGCGAAATGGAGACTGCGCAGTATGAGGACACGCACGCGCCGGGGGAATAGGCGCGTCGGCCAACACGTGCTCCACCACACGCGCCACCACCGCCGTGTACTTCTCCAGCAGCCCCGCCACCGTCGCCACAGTATCTTTTTCGCCTGAAGAGTGGGGAATTATATGGTGCGGCGGTCGGCGCTCAAATATCTACTCCTGCAGCTAACAAAGGAAGAGGAAGAAACTAGAAACTGGCAAACTTGGTGCGATTAATTTGATTTGGCATCGTTGATTTATGGATCGAATGTGATCCAACGGCATTGGGTGCTGCGAGAAAGAGTCAATACGTTGGGGGTGACAATAGGCTTCCACGTGCCCCTTAGACCATCTTTATCTCCAACCCAACCTAATAAGTAAAAATTATTTCTCTCTCCTCCACACACAAAACTCAATCTTACAATCTAATTAATCTTTATCCCCAACCCTACTCAACATCAATATTTATTTTAATTTAATTTATTCAAAAATTATAATTTTATTCCAAAATATATCAATTGTGGTCTCTATTTGTAAGAATGAAAAAACATGAATTTTAATATCTTTTTATTTTTTTTTTAACATAAAAAGATACACTTATCCAATCAAAATGGAACAAACATCCCATTCTCATACACTATAGAGGTCGCGACCCAGGTCACAGTCGATCAATTTTCACGCCCTTTACTTTTTTTTTTCTTTTTTTTTATGTTTTTAATTGGTGACCCGGTTGGGCACCTTAAATTTAGTCTTATACCCCATCTGATATTTTAATATATCTTTTTTTTTTTTCTTGAATAATTAAAAAATGAGAATGAAAAATCCAACATAATAAATAAAGTTGAGTAGGTAAAACATGTTGGAAAAATCAGTTGTAAAACTTAGGTTTGACTCGGGTTTGACTGAATTTTTGATGGCTAAATATTTAATTTGAGTTGAATTAAATATTGTAGAAAAATTCTACGTTTCGAGTAGATACTCGTGGTATGTTTATTTTCTCAAAAATGATTTTCGGTGAGTGAGAAATAAATTATTAAAGTTAGCCATAAAAGGGCACGTAAAACGCTGGTTGTGGGATTTGAAGGGTCAAGAGTCACTCCCACATTGGACTCTTAAATGAGTTTAACTCTCTTTATTATAATAAAGAGAGTTGGAGAGGTTACAACAAGCACAAAGCTATGCACCAAGTGTTGGTTTTGTTTTCGGCCACACGTGCGCGCGCGCGCCGGCCGGCCGGCTAGGGCTCGGGCACGGGCCCGGGCTTGGGACTTGGGCCTTGGTCCTTGGTTCTTGGCAATTGGACTTTGGGCTGGACTTGGGCGGCCTTGGGCGCTTGGGGCTTGGGCCCAATCACTATATATCTTTTTGCTGCAAATTTATTTGTAACTTTAGGCCCAAATGAAAAATCCAATTCTAGTTGGATTTGGACTCGGTTTTGACCCAACCCGAGTTAAACCTCTCCAGGTACAATGAACATGGACATGTGACCTTTCATGTGGAAAGTGACTGTTCAGGTGGATGTTAATGGCTGCCTTAACAATGGTTAATGGTGTAGTAACACCTGGTTAATGGTGTAGTAACACCTGAATGATTTTACTGCCTATTATCTCTGCCTTAAGTGGCAGATGTGACTTCTGGCTTCCCTCAAGATGTGGAAGTCCTATAAATAGGACTTAGAGGTGTAGAGAACATACACAACATTTCATGCAATCTGATACTCTCAAAGCCTCACGCATCATATCATAGTTCTCGGTTCTCGACTTCATTCTTGTTCGACTGGACTCTGAAGGCTGGTGTGCTACAGCTTCCGAGTGTTAAAGCCGTTGTATCTTTGGGGACATTACGCACTGACCCGTCAGCACTACACGGGGCGTATTTGTCTTGCGGATAGATTTCAATCACCTCGGCTCAAATCTCTCCGCGTTCGAGTTGTAATTTAATATTTTTTGTTTTAGTTCTTTTGTACGAACTGAACACTTCAGTCAGTTCATAGGCCCCGTTGTAATTTAAACACACAATGTGTAACAAAACACGTCATCTTTTATATAAAAATATTCGTCTAAATTTATGGTCTATCGTAAACACTTCTGTTAATGACAATTTAGTATAAAATGGTATTTTAAATATGAAAATATGTGGGATCTGAGGAATGTCTATTTCTTAAGGTCGTGTTCATTAATCATTTCAGTTAATTTTCAATTCATATACAAAAGTTAAGTCAAATTTAATCCAGTTACACATTAAATATGATTAAATAATATCAATTAATTATTTTTACACATCATATCAATTTTAATTCACTATTCAACTATTCATATAATTTTAAATAATAATTACTTCTAAATGTGGCCGGTTGGCGGGTTGGGTCAAAACTTATTCCGCCACGTAGGGTCGCCGGGCCTACAAACACGTACCCGAAACAGACTTGGATGTAGGTACGGGCCGGTTCGCAAGCCCGGTGATTCCGGGTCGGGTCGGTGAACTAAAAAAAACTAAAAAATTGAACACTTTAGGGCCAGTTTCGGCCTGACCCATCCTACCGGGTCCAAAAATTAATACATGAGGCCCAGTTAAACTACTTATGGGGTCGGGCCCATTGACTATGAGCCAATTCAGGGTTGGGTTGGGGCCAATTCGGGTCTAACCGACGGGCCGAATTGGCCGTGGCCATGTCTGGTTACTTCACACCATTTCTCTTATTTTTACATCAAATTAGATTTAATTATTTAATTTTAAATACTATTTTAACTTCAACTTAAAATTTTACTAATAACTAACTATACTAATTGTTGTTAAAATTAACCATGATTAACAATGAAAACTCGTTTTCAGCGGATATAATTTTATCAAGCATGCAAAGGTCCTTATTTTTTTAACAATTTTTTCAAGCTCTTTAAAGAAAATTATCACACTTTAGAACACTAGTTTGTCAAGGTCTGAATTGAATACAGTCTCTGTACACTTTATTCGAAATATAATGTGTATATTTCAAATTAATCTATAATAGTTGGTAATTGAAATTCAATCACAGAACTTTCACGTCAACGCGGAGTCCCCTTAATCTAAAACGTTTGGGCCTCAGAACCCTTTCTCCTTTCTTGACTGTAAGTTGGGCCTTGTCTTAATTGCTATTATGAGCTTGGTTTGTGATTGGGCCCGTTGGGGGCAATCGCCTAATGTCTTGCCATACACCAATCATACACTGGTTTTGATAGGTGATTTTTTTTTTTTTTTAATCTATATATATACTAGTACAACACCCGTGTATTACACGGGTACTTGTTGAAAAATTATTCTTAAGTTTTAAAATTAATGAGAAAACTATATTAAATTTAGTTTACTTTTTTAGAAAAAAATATATTACTATATATTTTAGAATGGTATGTGTTACTTATGACTTACATGTGTTATATTATAATAGTTTTTATAACTTATATCATATAACTACTTGAAATATAAATATATTAGTTGATAAATAATTTTATTTTTCTAATTAATATTAACAATAATTTTATTATTGTTATAAAGAAAATATAAATTATTTTTTTATACATACAATATGGATGTTAAATCGAAGCTCATCAAAAGAAAATTAATTTGATATATTACATATGTAAAACTGATAAAAAATACAAAAGTTATTAACTTTTAAATATATATACAATTTAATAGTTATAATAAGGAATGATATTAAAATACAATTAATAAATGTAACATGACCATGAATAATCAACATATTTATGGTAATTCGAACCTAATTACTTTTTGGTTTGGAATTAAATTAAAATTTATCCAAGCCTAATAACGAAGCATGTAATTTTGCCACATAGGATTCCGAAGAACCAGAAGCGGCCACGTAGGCTCAGCGCGTTCTGTATTAATATATAGGGGGGGATAATTGCTGGCATATAGCATTTAATAAAATATTTAATAAAACCTCCATTCATTTTCCCGCTCATTTTTCTAATTAACTAGTATGGTACCCGTGCGTAGCACGGCGGGGTTATTTCCTCAAACTTTTTTTTTAACTTTATTTTAAATATTTTTTTATAAATTAATAATTTAATTACAATAGAAAGAGGATAGAGGAATACAAAATATAAACAAAAATTATATATTATTAAACACTTCTCTATACACAACATTATTGGTTTGATTTTCTTTCAAACCTTCTTCTCCACAAATTAAAATTTTCAGATCCTTTCCGTTAGTAACACGGAAGACAACGACATATAACTGACCATGACTAAAAATTGGTTTCTTCAAGAATAAGCCAACATGCGATAATGATTGACCTTCACTCTTGTTTATAGTCATTGCGTATGAAACCATAATGGAAAAGTGTCTTCTTTGAAATTTGAATGGTACTCTAACATCAGAAGGAGTTATTGTCATCCGAGGTATCAAAACTTTATAACATGCATGATCACCAGTAAGAATTTTACACTCGAGAACATGATTGGAGAGTTTAGTCACAACCAATCGTGTACCATTGCAGAGTCTCATTGAGTGATCCATATTCCGCAACAACATAACTGGAGTTCCGACCTTCAATTTAATTTCTGGTTCGGCTTTCCAGAACACTTGATAGTGTTCAAGAACTCAGGAGTATGGAGTTGTGCTACAAAGTCGGTATTGGAGTCGGATTTACACGTACTGTATGAACTTGAATACGTGCGTCCCTCAGTCAAATTTAACGACGACATGTATTCATTAATAGATTCTACGATATCGAGTGTTGGCGCAAGTATAGCTCTATCCTTCAAGTAACTTGGATCGTCGGTTGCATTCTTGAACATCGGAAATGTGCTTTCAACAATTTTTGCAACTGGATCATCGGATGGCTCTAGTAATAGATCATTTGGTATGTCTATCGGAGAACATCCATCATTTTTACCCCTCAATATTCCATCTCCAATGCTCGCTATCCAATCAGCAAAAGCGGCCAACTCGTCATGTTCATTCGAATCGCCAATGCTCTGAAGACGCATATTCTTTGTAAGCCTAAGCACAATACATTCTCCCTAAATGCTAGAAGAGTTAATAGCAGCATTAACAATCTTCTGACGACTACCCTTTGGAACTACCGGAAGATTTTGTAGAAAGTCTCCACCAAACACAACAGTCTTGCCTCCGAACGATTTATGATGATTTATCGGGTCGAGGGCTCCCATTACTGTTTAAAAGATGCTTGAACAGCTTCAAAATAATGTTTATGCATCATTGGGACCTCATCCCATATGATCAATGAAGAGCGAATAATCAACTCAGCAAGAGGGCTAGCA